AGTGGTGGAGGTAGGGGAGGACAGCTGCGAATGGCTAAGGGGAAACGGTTGGGTAGGGGAAAAGAGCAATAGTGATCCTGCCGAGAGGGACAAGTTGGGGTGAATGGGAATAATATGGGGCGAGGAGAGAAGAGAGGTGGGCCAAGTCTGGGGGAGAGGGGTCAAGGGAGTGAACCGTAATGATGCCATAGGGGTGCAGGGAGGTGTCCACTTCCATAGACAAAAGAGAGGAGACCCACTCAGAAGAGGGTAGTGAAGAGTCACCCTCGAGAGAGAGGTGAAGTGACATGAAAGAAAAAAAAAACAGCAGAGGGCAGCTTAGGGGAGGAGGCTTAGCGGGTGGGGAGGTGACCAGAAAAGGGGGGAAGGGAGAGGAAATCCCCTGGGAATCGGAGGGGGTAGGAGAGAGAAGAGAGGGGAACGTTTGAAGAGGGAGTGGGGAGACATCATCCAAGGGAGGGGGAGAGGGGACAGGTCGTGGAGATCCTGTCTCCGAAGGGACGGCAGTAGGTGTGGAGGGAGAGGAAAGTGGCTGTGTAAAGCCAAGTGTCGAGGCGAGGGGAGAGGTGTCAACAATGGGATAGGAGAGAGGGGCGGAAGCAGAGACAGCAGCGAAGAGGTAAGGGCGGGATGGCGGCTGAGGGTCGCCAGGGTCAAAGTACGTGAGACAGAGGGAGATGAAAGGACAGGCAACGGTGTCAACTGGGGGGTGGAAGGCAAGATCGTTGACCCGATGTCTAGTGATCGTGGCAATGAACAGGGGGGAGCAGAGGGAGCGGGGACAAGTGTTGGAGTCTCCTCAAGGACTCTCGGGATGGGGATCAAGATACAGGGGGAGGAACCCAAAGATCCCTTCGAAGGGGAAACCGGGTCGCTGGCACTGCCCGACGGCCCAAGGGGGGAGGGAAGTCACAATCCACTATAACCTCCTTCCCTGGTCGATGTGATGGAGGGGCCGATAGGCCCACGGAGGACCGACTAGGTTCTGCTACCTCGCCGCCTTTGAGACAAGAGCCAGAGGGGGTGGGCTCGAGACCAAACAGTGGCTCCAGCGTACTGGTGAAGGCTTTTGCAGGGGGAGCCAGGGAGGCACCGCGTGGTCGCCAAGTGGAGAGCTGGTGACGAGGAAGAGGACCGGGCCCAGCGCGGCCCACGTCTGAAACAGGGCCATGGGGCTGGTCTCGGCGGCGCCGCTGGTGGTGGCTAGGATTCTGGGAAACAGTGGACCATGAAGAGGGTGGAGGGCCCTTTACCACGGGAGGCGACTGGTAGTTGAGAAAGAAAACCGAGGGGGGGAAGCCTCCGACCAGGAGAGAGAAATAGGGTAAAAAAGATTATCAGTTTCCACCTGTAAGGTGGGATGAGCTTTGAGTCCAGGACCTTCACCAGCAGAAGGATTTACCCAAGAGGAAGCGTTTTAATGGACTTCCAGTGGTTGGAATTTAGACTGCCACAGGCCTCCGCCACTTTCTAAAAAGTGGACGGAGACCAAACATGAAGTGGCAAATGGTGAAGGGTGAGCCAAATTTTGCGCTTTCTAAAGGACCCTTCGAGAGGGGACCAAGCTCAAAGACAAAGGGAAGCCCCTTTGAAAGCTATACAGTTGGAGTTTCGTAACGCCTGACAAGCAAGTTCAGAGGACGAGAAAGAGAAAAGAGAGTCACCACCGGAAGGACACCTGGTTGTGATATTAGGGTCCTGCCAAAAAAAATTTGACCATTTTTCTATTCCTCTCGCATCGTCTCGTGAGGGCTGAAACATACCAACCAGAGAGGCAGGATATTTGGATTGCAGAAGGGAGGACACATCAGGAGGGATAAAGACAACGAAGGGACAGTACGGGGAGGCCTTAGAAGGGGGGAAGGAATCCCCTTTGAGGTCACGAGAGAAACTGGGGGAGTAGGGGAAGACGAGGGGCAAGCAGTAACCTGTGAGTAGGAAAAGGGGAGGGAAGAGGTGGGGGCCGCTGCCGACGTCCTGCAAAGAGGTGGGAGGAGGGGCTAGTTTGTCCTTTGAGACGAAGAAGCCAGACGCCCGAATGGGGGGCTGCGGCATGGTGGAGACAAGGGAAGCGCGTCGGGAAGGTTTAGAGTAGAGGTCATAGATCAGGTGCCAGTTGAAAGGGGAGGGAGAAGGAGGAGGACGAGGACGAGGACGATGTCTCCTCCCCATGTAGTTCCCTCTTCTCTCTCTAGGTCCCCACTCTCTAGCTATCCCTTTTTGTTCTCTCTCCTTTTCATTTAAGTACCATGGGTCTACTACACAAATCTCGGTCCGCCATTCTGCTATGTTAAGGGTCAAACCCTCAGTGAAGTCATAAGTCCCCATATATTTTTTCACTACTTCTAACCATATCATTTTGGGCCTACCCGTCATTTTTTAGCCTTCCACTTGAGCTAACTTGCACATCCTAACAGGTGTTGTATGGGTCTGCACCACCCAGCCCACCTAAGTCTACTCTCTTTTATCTTATCGCTTATTGGTGTCACACCTAAATTTTTTTGAATGTATTCATTTTGAATTCTATCCCTTCTTGTCTTGTCACTCATCCATGTCAACATCCTCATCTCTGCTATACTCATTTTATGGGCATTTTTTTTTTTTTACCGCCCAACATTCCTTCCCATAGAGAAAAGCTGGTCTCACAGCTATCCTATAGAAATTTCCCTTCATCTTCATTGGTATTCAGCGAACACATAAAATTCCGGTTGTACATCTCCACTTCGCCCACTTAGCTCTAATTATATGTGTGCCATCTTCCTCAATCTCTCTATTTTTTTTGATTATCGACCCAAGATATCAAAAGTACGCTCTTTTTGGTATTTCTTGGCTGTCAATCTTAACTACTTCCTCGTCTTTACTCTTATTATTATTAAACTTGCATTGCATATACTTTGTCTTAGTCTGACTAATTTTAAAACCTTTAAGTACCATGGGAACATTTCCAAAAAGGCCTTAAATGGATTTTGAAATTTGAAAATTCCTTTTATGGGTGGGAAATTTGAAAATTAGGATTTGGATTAGATGGCTAAATCAACATGCTTCATTAGCTAGATGAATTGTTGTATGTGAAAGAAGTGGCTATGTAGAATTTCAAGCTGTAAATTCAAATTTTTCTTTCTTTTCTTTATTAATTACTGGAAATTCTACTTACAAATGCCACATACAAAAATAACCCTACTACAATTTAGGATCTTTAAGCCTTTCTGTCAAATAAAACTTTGTTGAAACTGAATAACAAACTAACAACCTTAGGAAGTAAAAATAATACAGAACAAGGGAAAATAAAATTAAATAACTTAGGGAAGAACTTACTGACTTTTGCCTAAGCTTACCCCTGAGGACTTAGCACACTCCACAGCTGATCACCTGACTAATGGTGGACTTCTAACTTTCGGATCTTGTTGAATCCTAAACCTGAATATGTGAAGCACCTCTAGGACACCCGTATCTGAAGTTATGAGGCTGAGATATAGGGTCACAATTAGGGTTTCAGAAAGAACCCTTTTTGACCTTGTATGGGGCTGAGATATAGGGTCACAATTAGGGTTTTGGAAAGCTTTTTGACCTTGTGGGCGTACTCCCAATGGGCACCTCCCCTTTTAACTAAATGATTGGGGTTGGGCGTGCCCCCCTTTCTAAGCCCTCTAAGAGGTGCGTGCCACCTATTTGAGAGAGAGAGAGAGAGATGAGAAACTAGAGAGGGGGGTGGAGAGAAGAGATGGGAGAGATCTGATGTATGATAATGAGGGGAACCCCCCTTCCTTTTTTTTAATAGGCCTTTAGGCCTTAAGGAGTCCCAATCCAAATAGGATTCAACAAGATCTAGAAAATATTTAGGTAATATGTGAGGTGAGAAAATTAATCTGAGCCATTCATCTTCAAGATCAGCCATCATATCTAAAGTGAATATTTAGGAACTTTATCCCTTGAGATTTGAGCTATATTTAGTTCTAAATAGTCTAGAATTTGTCTCATCATAATCATATCTTCTAGAACATTCTAGAATGATCCAAAATAGTCCAGATTTCCTGACTCTCTCCTCTCCATACCTCTCTCTAGTCTTCTCTCAACTCTCTCTTTTTAAGCTCATCTTTCTCTCTCTTCCTAGGTGGCATGCACCCCCATAAGTGTTGGGGTTGCATGGCCCACTCATTTCCATGGACCATACGTCAAAATTGACTTTACATATATGTTGAAGTCTTTCTATGTTTAAGTCATTAGGAATATCGGTGTACAGCTCCAGTAAGAGATATGCACATCAAACATTATAAGCAGTCGATTACTATAGACTCCCAAAAGCTTCTAGTTTTGCATAAGTTAGGTTTTTCTATCTCAAATGTTAGTCAAGTTCATGATACTTCACCTACGTGCTTGTGGGAAAACGGATGTTTTTTTTAAAGCATTTCCTATATAGAAAGTATATAGAAAGTTCTCTTTTGCTGGATATTAAGGACACCTATGTGCTTGTGGGAAAACAAATGTTTTTTTTAAAGCATTTCCTATAAATCTCTCAACTCGGAGTACTCAAAAAAACTTTTAGACAGACTTTCTTTGAGAGAACATTCGACTTGAAGCCAACTTCTCTATATTGAACTCTTTCATTAAATCCTTTGTGACAAAATTTTACTGGTGCAAACCATAGATCTCTCATTCTCTACACTTTTTCTTCTTTTTCTCATTTACAGAAGAACGCATAATTAACTTGTATCAACTCTTACAATGTCTCCTAACAAGCTGATTTAGTAAATGTTTATACCCTTGTTCCTATTGAGTATCTTTTAAAGTAATGGGGGTTTGTGTGTTCTTGAAATTATGAACAAATCCAATAGAAAGGTAATTTGTCGTGACTCACATGGGTCTTTATTCACCAAAGAAAACTCCAAATAGAAATTGGAAAAGGTGTTATCTGGAGCCATGGAATATCGTACTGAATGGTCTCAGTTGGATTTATTTTTTGGTTAAGAATAGAAGCTCACTTTTTGTGTGTGGTTGTTCAGGAGAAGGCATATATACTTGCAGACAAGAGAGAGGATGCTGCTGTAGCAAAAGAGAAAGTGACAACATTGGAGCACGCATATTTCAAACAGGTTCTATAGAATCTTGAACGTAAGAATTGTATTGTATGTTGAACGTAAGAACGTAAGAATTGTATTGTATGTTGAACGTAAGAGTTGTAAGTTGTAACATATGTGACTTTTTTATGATAAAACTACACTAGAATAAAGTTATTGCAGCACAGAGTTGTAAGCTGTAACATATGTGACTTTTTTTATGATAAAACTACACTAGAATAAAGTTATTGCAACGCAAATGTTTTCTTTCCAATAATGCTTGATTTTTCCTTTTATTTTCTCATCTTATTTAAATCATCTAGACTGGCTCATCTTCATGGTTGGTAATCCTTTGTTTATTTTAAGCGGTTTATCTATAAAGACTGCCTTCATGCCAACCGGTTAGTGTTTTGGATAGTGCTTAGCAGGTCCAGATCTCGCAGAATTATGTTGGTCCAATTACGAAGGAAGTGGAGATAGATTGTGAATTGTGGAAGTTTCATTGGTCATTTTCAAAAAGGGTTTCATGGATACATTGCATAGGATAATGATCCAGTTATCGTGGAACACATTGGACTGTTGTGAGCATATGTCTAATCAATCATGCCATAGCACTTCAGCCTCCTCTGATGACCATCTATATAACCAATTATGTTGAGGTAATCTTCCACAACCACTTAGCAAACAACAAGACGCAGGTCGAACCACTGTCAACATGGAGCCCTGGCATCAGGTACTGTTGCCCAGACGGTCCGTTGTGGCCCAGTGAGAGTCTTGAGGTGCCGTCAAGGCTTGGACTGTCTATTCCTATCCATGCTTACCACCAGAGTGACATGGACATATGGAAGGTATTATCATGGATCAAATCTTGCCACTTCAAATTATAGGCCTCAAGATCGTGTACCTGTTCGTACCACCTTGTAAACTCAAAATCGCCTGAAGTAGTCAATATTGGGTATTTTTGAAGTTTACAAAATCCAATAATCATGAAGATGAGGCTCTCTTTAAAATTTGGAAAAGTATGCAAAGAGACTTTTGGTACAAAAATGTCATAATTAATTTTGTACATTGAATTTCAAATCGGGTTTTTGTAAGAGTCCCATTGATTAGACGGATCAAAAATAAAAGTTTCTCGAATTTCATGAGACACACCAAGCTATCTAATTTGACATTTAATAGTTATGAGTGGGGCCTCTTTGTAATAAAAGATAAATGGTCTCATGGTATATACCCTTAAATTTTTTGGAAAAAGGGTGACACGGACCTTGTCATTTCATTCTATTTTTATTTATTTTTTGGAAATTACCTTTTAAATACATTAAAATTTTGTCATATATTAAAAAATGAAAAATGGCATTATCGTGCATCCGTCAATGTGAATATCCTTTTTAAAATACGACATTCCAAAACTGTTTTTTAGATTTGGGTGCGGTTTGTATAGAGCCTAGGCTCTAAACTTGGAGCTTACCTTCAAATAGTGTCGAGAAATGTAGTTTTAATACTGAAATCTTTGTGATAGCATTAAAATATATTTTTATTTTTATTTATAAAATGTAAAGCTTAAAAAATAGTATAGATCGACATATCTATGAAAATTTTGAAAATTGACGTTTCAAAAATGCGTTACAAAATATACTATTTCCAAAACTTGAATTTATTTTTTTCTCATGTCCATGCATATTGATGTTGAGATGATCAATTTGGGGATATTTGGACATCAAAACAACTTCTTTTAGTGAAATTTTTTAGTAGGCTCGAATTTTATTGTTTCGAGCCTCGGCTTTATATAAACTTTTCTCTTTAGATATTGGAAAAAGTTTATATAAGGATGCAACCTTATCATGTAGAACTACAAATGCACCTCAAAATCCATTGGAAAAGGTAATTTTAATGTTGAAAAACCTTTTGATTGATCATCTCGACGTCGAGATGTATGACCATGAAAAATTAAAAGATTTTAAGTCTCATAAATAGTGCATTTTATAAAATATTATTTGCACCGTCCATTTTCAAGATTTTCATATGTTTATAGATCTATTTGATTTTAACCATTTTTGAAATTTAAAATTTTATAATTGGATATAAAAATAGGTTTTGAGATAATCCTAAGAACATTTTACATTAAAATTATATACCATGATAAAATTTGAAGGCGCATTTTACCTCTACCGCTAATGATGCATCCATATGCCACCTGCACCCTTAGACATTTGATTATTATTATTATAAGTGGAAATGTATAAATATCTTATATATTTCTCAGAATTAAAAATTAATCTCTTTTTTTTTTGTCAATTTTTCCCAAAATACTAACGACCCTTGATGGACTTAATTGCATTTTTGTTTTTTTAATTCATGTGTGGATCAAAGTTTTAAACTAGTTTAAGCTAAAAGAGAGCTGAGCCAACTTCGTGATCCCCTTAAAGTGCAAAACCGGCTTCTTGCAAAAATGAAAACTTAGACTTCAATGACGAACCAAATTCTGGAAAAAAAGAGAACCTAGAATTTAGTTCAACACTTGAAACAGCGAATCGACTTCTCAAAAAAGAAAAGGGAACCTAGAAATGGGTTTGGCAGTTGAAGTGCCGAACCAAATTTTGATAAAAAAAGAAATCCCCAATGTAAATTTTTTTATCCGAACCAAATTTTGATAAAAAAAGAAATCCCCAATGTAAATTTTTTGATAAAAAAAGAGAAAACCCCGATGTAACTTTAAAAATAAAAGTGGTTTGACACTTGAAATGCGGAAACATGGATATTTTTAGAAAAATTTTGATGTAAAAATGTGGACGTAGCATGAAATATGAAAACTTTGAAGCTATTATTTAATTTAAAAAATATGATATTTAGGTAAATATCCCTATTATAAAATGGGAAAGGCTTCTATACTTCCCCCATTGTATAGAAGATATATATTTCTCTTCCATCTAGCCGTCCAATTGAGATCAAGTGAGTCACTGACCGTTTGATCTAGATCGGATGCTTCAAAGTATTTTATTTTTAATTTTTTTATATAAATTACATATATATATGAAATTTGGTATGTGCCATCATATCAATGAGGCGCACCTAAAACCAATATTAAAAAAATATTGTTGATAAAAATATAATGACTACAATATCCTTGAAATTTTTTAGGGGTATTTTGATTATTTTATTTTATTGAAAATATTTTTTATATATGGTGTGAGTTTAAAAGAAGAGTGGATGCCCAAAATTTGGTGTCAAAATGCTCTATAGAAAAAAAAATCAAAAATAAAATAGTATAGAGGCGTGACATTGCGATTGCGGCCATCTCAGCTATCCATTCGGAATCGATTGTTGGATAGGGAGAAATATATATAAACTTTTTATAGTAGGGGAAGTATAGAAAGTTTGCCCTTATAAAATTATTATTATTTTATTATTGGTGTTGTTCTTATTGTTCTTATTGTTATTGTTATTGTTATTGTTATTATTATTATTGTTATTGTTATTATTATTATTGTTATTATTGTTATCATTGTTATTATTGTTATTATTATTATTATTATTATTATTATCATCATCATCATCATCATCATGGAAAGAAAAGTATATGAGATTGCAACATTAACATGTAGAACTAAAGATGCACCTCAAAAATCCATCAAAAAAGGTTGTTTCAGTGTTGAAAAACACTCTAATTGAGCATCTCGACATCAAGATGTAGGAATATGAAGAGAAAAAAAAATATTTTTAGTCGTGAAAAATAGTGCATCTTGCAACACATTATCTAGACAGTCCATTTTCAATATTTTCATATATTTATAGATCTACTTGATTTTAACCAATTTTTTCATATAATCCTAAAAAAAAGTTTACATCAAAATTACATATTATGATAGTTTTGGAGGTGCACCTTAAAACTCCTCCCTAGATCACGAGTTCGAGCTTTCTATTAGTTTAGGAAATTAGTTTTCAAATAATCTCACAAAAATCATTATGGGCTCAAAACATCCATCTGAAATTGCACAGAGTTATCTCCTCAAAAAAAAAAAAAATTTATTTCATGCTGGCTAGACCGCTTTTCTACATATGCAGTCCAAAAAGTGTAAAGCATCCATTTGGATGCAAGTAGGTGTTCCATCTAAAAATAATGGAAAATAACGGTCCAAATGTTTTTTTACTAGAATTATTTTTACTTTTTGAAATTTATTTATTTTTCATATTCATGATCTCCATGTTAGAGATTACATGTCCTTAAAAATTGAGTCTTAAAATCCATCTCAAAAATAAATTTATTAAGAGGCTCTTATTTCTATATAGGCTGGGCTGCGTAGAAACAGGGCCCAAAAAATTATTCTAAATTTTCAAATTACTTATATATAAAAACAACACATTTTGATAATTTAGCTTGAGTCAAATGACTAAAATACTGTTCGTGGTTCAGATTCAGCAACACTCGAAATTAAATATATAGCTCTGACTTCTTGTTGAGAAAATGTACAAAAGCGATTGTTTATTAGCAATGGTTGATCTACTTTCCAGCTCCTAAAACAAAGCGAAACGAGTGAATGCAAGTTCAAAGTATTAGAGTCTAAGAATTAAAAACATAAAATAATTTTATTATAAAAAACAAAAAGCTACTAGCTTTACGATAGGAGCTTGTTCATGGAGCCAAGCTAAATGAAATAGCGTAGGAATAACAGCGGCTACTCTTTTGAGCTAGGAGTTTTGTTATTGTTGTTTAGCTTTTCTTTATGACAAATGAGATTAACGATTATTTTAATATTATATAACTATGTTTGAGTAATTCGTTTTTGGAATATAGGAAAACAGAGAAGTTTCTTTTTATGTTTCAAAGCTCTATGCACCTAAGTTTGAAAAGCAACAATAAACACCATAGTTCTATGAAGTTTTCGAAAGAGAAAGAGAGAAAACTGGATAGAGATAGATGCTCCTTGAAATTTCACTGAGAAATGTGTGTTAAGATAGAGTTGCAAAAGGCTATTTTCATGTGGCATAAGGGACCTTTTTTATAGAGCTATAAGGAAGCTGCACAATTACAGTAGAAGTAGTTATATGCACCATCAAACAGTTACAAGTTACAGGCATACCCTTTAATCTCGATGGCTATTGTTACAAACCTCATTTTTTTCAATGGCTAGATGGTTGTTTTTTCTTCAGTGGCTAGATGGTTGTTTTTTCTTTAATAGCTAGATGATTGTTGGATGCCCCACAAGAGTCATACTTACAAAAAGGTATTGAACCCGTAGACGTGCTTGAGCGAGAGATGCTG